CTCTCTCTCTCTCTCTCTCTCTCTCTCTCTCTCTCTCTCTCTCTCTCTCTCTCTCTCTCATGGTGTGAGGTTTTCCTGGCTCCTGACTCACGACTCTGGTGGCACCGTGAGTATTCCTCTCAATTTTTTTTGGCTCTGATCATCAGGATGACTGAGTCATTTGAATCGGAGGCGCTGTCAGTGTGTGTGTGTGTGTGTGTGTGTGTGCGTGCGCGCGTGTGTTTGTATGTGTTGGAGACAGCTGAGTGAAGCCAACGCTGTTGGAGACAGCTGAGAAAAGAGCAGCATTATTAACGCGCCCTCGCCTCTTCGCGTAAAGACAGCAGCTCGTCTCGGAGCGCGCGCGGGGGGGCATTTTCACTTGACAGCCAAGAGCCTCAAACTCAGCATCAGAGTCGATCACATGTTCCTGACTGTGTTTATCACCTCACATGTCCGCGTGCCGAGGACGTGCCGCTAAAAAAAAAAACAGGTTCTGCGCAGATCAGGTCTGTTTTATTCAGTTTAAGGTTCAGCTCTGTGCTCTGCTGCGGGTTGACTGGAACAACGTCCAAGAATGTGAGCCTCATAAAGTCTTTAATTCCTCAGTCTGAGGCTCACATTTACACTGAAGGCTGATTAGTTTTGCACACCTTCTAGTTCTGCGCGCTCCCGCTTTGCGCGTCCACCTTCCTTCCATTTTTATTTAATTTTTGGGGAGTCTTTTCTTTCAAACCCCTTGAACCTGCCTCCAAACACTTCCCCTCCGCCTTCCAGCTGATGTTTTCTGGGCTTGACTGTTTCCCCATCCCCTCCTGTAATACATCACTCCCTCCTTATCTTCTGAACAGAGTTTCTCAGAGGCTGTCTCTCTGCAGATTGAGATAGATTAGAGAGAATTAAGGCTTTGGTGGCCCTTGTGGCTCCTGTCGAACCAGTCCAGTTGGCTGAATAGAAGATGAACACAGGGGGGCCGCTCGGAGCTTTACAATGGGGCTGTACTATCACAAATCTTCATCAGAAAGAGGTTTATTTTCTACTTTTTTGCTCAAATCCAATCAGAAATCTCAGATTGAAAGACTGCAATCCAGCTGGAAAAAGAAATAAAGGTGCATCTTTCCTTGAAAGAACACCTCTTTTTCATGTCAGAGCTAAAATTGAAATAATACATTCTTGAAAGTGATTTTTACAGCCTTTTAGTTTAAATCTGTTGGTGCTCAGATTAAATGTTGAAAACTTTCTGCTGCTCTCATGTGAAATTTTAGCTCAGTATCTGTAAATCTGACAGTTACCATTTTTGTGCTAATTTACGTTGATTAGCTGTGGCAGTCATCTTGACTCAGGTTGACATACAGTTTAAATCAGCATTCATCCAGTGGTAAGTGAGAAATTTTGCTGACAGAAACAGTAACCCAATACCTACTGCCTGCGTTTAAAACAAATATCTGACATAATTCATTAAAGCTCAAAGTAGAAACTGAGGATTAATTTCTGATTTTACTTCAGCATATTGCAACTCAGTTCCTGTAAAAGTGAAGAGATGAAACATATTTTTATGTGTTTTAGTTTGATTAGCTGTGGCAGCAAGTCTAAACTGGGTTGAGTCTAAAAGTTAATCAGCTACAGACATATATCCAATTAATTAATTAATTCTGGGTGTTTGAATAAATTCGGTCCAGTGGTTTCTGAGATATTATGCTAACAGACAGACATGGTTGACTGGATCTTTAAAGTTGATATAACAATTATTGTTTTTTTTAAAGATTAATTGAATTGGATCAAATCTAAATGTTAATCAGTTAGCTACAAGTCCAATTATTAATTCCTAAATGTTTCATTAAAATCCACATACTGTACAGATAATTATTAGCACCAGACTTTTATTGTAGCAGGAAATAAAAGGTGTCCATGTTTGTGATGAAAAACATTACGTTTTCTGTTTCACTGGACACCCCCCCCCCTCCCCCCACTGAGTTAAATCCAACTAAATGTAGATAAAAGTTAAAAAGTGTTTCCTGGAGGAGGTGCAGGAGCTGTCCTTGGTGCTGAAGCTGTCCTCACTGCAGAGGTGGAACTTTAAATCATTCCCGTTTTATTTTGACCACTTCCACACTTCATCCAATTGCTGCATGATGTCCTGCTCCAGACTCCCATGGTTCAGGCTCAACAGTCCAGTTCCCTCTTTTTTATCAATCTTTATTCAACCAGACACTGAGATTATTTTTTGCTGCTCCCTTCTGCAAGAGTTGCCTCAGCGAGTGAGCTCTCATGAAAAAGTTAGCGATTGTTTTACCCTGGATGTCCTCACTGACACAATCTGACATGCACCACATCTGCTTATTAACAGCATTAATATAGTATATTTGTGTGTGTGTGTGTGTGTGTGTGTGTGTGTGTGTGTGTGTGTGTGTGTGTGTGTGTGTGTGTGTGTGTGTGTGTGTGTGTGTGTG